GTAGGGATGGCAATGGGTACGGATTCGTCCGGTCTTAGACCCAGGGCCGACCCATTCCCAGCGTGTCTGGGTAATTTAAATAATTGTAGCTCGGGTAATGGGTTTAAGTTTCTAGAACCGGATGGTTCTGGGTCGGGTTCTGGGTCTTATGGGAACCGACCCAGAACCGACCCGTATAAATATATTATATTTTATAATTAAGCTATATATACAAATTAATTTATGATTTCATTTATCAAACTTTCAATTTTCATCGTGTCTATTATCATTTATCCATTTTTCACCATTTCATTTTTTCGAATCTCATTTCTCGTAAATAAAACTTATCATTTGTCGACCACCTCTAGCTATCTTGTCTTTTGAACTTTACTTATCGTAAAAAATAAATATAATTATTATATAATTTTGTTATTCACTTTATATCACTTGTAGAAGTATTTTAAAATATGGTACATTAAGTTTTAGATTATTTTGTTAAAAGGTAGAAGCAAAATATTAAGAAAATTAAAAAATAAAAAATAAAAATAAAATTTAACGGGTCTAGCGGGTCTGACGGGTCAGAACCGTTTCATTCGGGTATGGGTTGGGGCGAGTCTGGGTCTAAGCTGAACAGGATTGGGGCGGGTCTGGGTTTTATATATTTTTCATGGGTCGGGTCTCGGGTTTAGCCAAACCCGACCCAGAATCGACCCGTTGCCGTCCCTAGTGGTGGTGGTGAAAATTTCAATGGGATTTAAGAAAGGGTGGTGATAAATGCAGGACGTATTTTAGTAAATGTAGGATATTTTATTTTAAAATATCAAAAGCTAAATTATTGGGGTTTTTATGCATGGGTCCCTAACCAAGCATCTTTATTATTCAGTTGGTCCCTAACCAATAAGCTCATCCCTTTAATATATATTATAAATAAAAGAAATATATAAATAACAGTATTACCCCCAACCTGTATACTCAATTCTTAATTGTAACCTCAATTTAATCAATTTTGTTCACAAAAATCCAATTTTGATTTTTTTTTTAATTTTTTTTTTGCTGCAGGATTCCGGCGTTGACTTTTCGAATTTATTTATTTATTTTTTCTTCCGGATTTTTTCGCCGGTCTCTGGCGTTGACTTTTTTTTTGGTCTGATTTTTTCTGCCGCCGGAATCCGGCGTTACTTTTTTTAGTGTCTTTTTAGTGTGTGTTTTTATTATTATTATTATATTTTTACGTCTGCCGCTAAACGTTGACCGTAATAGTGCCTATCATTGACAGTAAATTAACGCAATTATACTGTCAACGACAGTACATTAACGTAATTGTACTGCCATAGACAATACATTTATGTAATTGTTCTGCCGTTCAAATTAAATTAACGTATTATTATTATTATTATTATTATTATTATTATTATTATTATTATTATTATTATTATTATTATTATTATGATTATTATTATTATTATTATTATTATTATTATTATTATTATTATTATTATTATTATTATTATTACTATTATTATTACTATTATTATTACTATTATTATTACTATCATTATTACTATTATTACTATATTATTATTATTATTATTATTATTATT